ATCTTATTTTTTTGTTTGTTTATTCTTACATACTAATATACTAACATCATTTTTTGCCATTTCTATTCTTACTCTGATGCAATGAGAACCACCGTAAATGACACTGACTGGGACTTCTTTATCAGGGTTAAAGATATGTGCTAAAATGTCCTTACCCAACGGACGATAACCATATCGCTGGAAATCTATCCATCTCCAGGTTATTGCACACACATGGTATGGAGCTGAGGTGAATCCAAAATATATGTAGTTTTTCTATTAAAAGTACGGAAGTAAGTAATATTTATTTATAGAGCACAGACCAAGGTCATAGAGCTTTACGAGATATTTGAGATATGACCATGCATGTAATATGAGAAGACGGACACATCAATAAATACATGAATAAAGTAGAAACAAGTAGAGTGAGGGACCAGCAACAATGGATTTTTCTCTGGTTAAAAGTTAGGTAACCCAGCTTTATCTCAGGATATCCTTTATATCTTCTATACCAAGGGTCTCCAGCCTTTTTCTGGTCTCTCTGTGGTCTCTCTCTGGTCTCTCTCTCGGGTCTCTCTCGGGTCTATCTCTGGTCTCTCTCTCTGGTCTCTCTGTGGTCTCTCTGTGGTCTCTCTCTGGTCTCTCTCTGGTCTCTCTGTGGTCTCTCTGTGGTCTCTCTGTGGTCTCTCTCTGGCCTCTCACTGGTCTCTCACTGGCCTCTCACTGGTCTCTCACTGGTCTCTCGCTGGTCTCTCGCTGGTCTCTCGCTGGTCTCTCTCTGGCCTGTCTCTGGTCTCTAGCTGGTCTCTCTCTGGCCTGTCTCTGGTCTCTCCCTGGTCTCTCCCTGGTCTCTCCCTGGTCTCTCGCTGGTCTCTCTCTGGTCTCTCTCTGGCCTGTCTGTGGTCTCTTTCTCCACATAGACAATAGCTCTTTGCATATGAATCACACATTTTGGAATATTTATAGCATATCTATGTCATTTCTAAATCCGCTCTATAGCATTATGTCAAAGATAAATATATAAATTCTTTCTCTATTTCAAAGCCAGTCCAAGCATGTTCAAAAACACAGCACAAAACTCATTCCCACATTACCACGGCCACAGTTCAGCCTCATTCCAAGTCACTCGAAACATTTCGCATGACTTTTTTTTTCAAAGCACTGAAACAGCTGATAAAGACAGAGGATTAAAGGCCATAAACCGTGGAGCGACCCCGACGGTATCCTAGCTACCGTGTGTGTGTACCAGCAACAACAGCGGCCAGGACCCACCCAGTCCCAAACGCCGCGACACAGAGCAGAATCCTGTTTCAAATATGTGACACTGGGGTCCGGGAATACACCACCACCACGGGAGAGGGGCCGCTTACATTACGGCGTTATTAATGGAGGCTAGGCGTCCGGTTGTAGTCGCCAAGTCACGTGATGCGGGGTGTAAACAACGGAAAGTTAATTTGTATAGCACAGTTCTTAACATTGTCAGAAAAGAAGCCTGTCTCACATTTTCAGGAAGACTGTTCCAGATTTTGGCTGCATGAATCTGAAATACTGCCTCCCCATATATAGTTCTGACTCTGGGACCAGTAGGAAGCCAGTCCCTGTGCTCCTCAGAGTCCACAGCAGGAGGCCAGTCCCTATGCTCCTCGGAGTCCCAGTAGGAGGTCAGTCCCTGTGGTCCTCAGACTCCCAGCGGGAGGCCAGTGCAGAGGCCTGAGAGCTGGACTAATGAGATGGTACTTCCTGGTTCTCGTCAGGACTAATGTGATGGTACTTCCTGGTTCTAGTCAGGACGAATGCGATGATACTTCCTGGTTCTAGTTAGGACTAATGTGATGGTACTTCCTGGTTTCTAGTCAGGACTAATGTGATGGTACTTCCTGGTTCTAGTCAGGACTAATGTGATGGTACTTCCTGGTTCTCGTCAGAACTCGACAGGTGCATTGGGTGATAAAGTGACAGTTTTGAACACCACGCTCTGTTGTTACTAAAACCTTCATAATGTTTTTGAATGGTCTATTATTTTCAAAAACAAAAGCAACGTCATATTCAAATGTGGGAAATGAGGGTTACTATTTAGAGCTTTTCACTTGCATCCAAAACAAACACAAAGCCTTTGTCATGAGTCAGGGGTGTCCAAACCACTTAGTTCCCCAGACCTGTCCCGGGTCTGAAAACCCACATTTTAAAACAGTTTTGAGCATAACATGTCTATATTTGTAGCTGAAGATGGCTGGATGACACTGTGAACTTGTGTCACAGCGTAGCTCAATGATGCCCAAAAGTAGTTTATTTTAGCAGAGGTCTGTCATAGGTGAAGCTTATCTGTGAAGAGTAAACAGAGGGGGTGCCAAGAGAACCACAACTCCAAACCAAGAGGAAACAAAGGGCTTTTATGCAGTAGAGTAGAGAAGCCGAAACATGTACAAGAACTCCATCCATCCATCCATTTTCTTCCCCTTAATCCATTTCTGGGTCGGGGGGGTGGCAGTCAGAGCAGCACCCAGTACACAGAGCACCAGCCCCTCACTGATCCTCCTGCAGGTGGTGAGTCCACAGGAGCTGAGATCTTTCAGTTGGGGCTTTGGGCAAAGTAGGGTTAAGTGTCTTGCCCAAGGACACAACGACAGCAGTCATCAGTGGGAGTCGTGAAGTAGGTCTTATGGTGGGCTTGAACCCACGACCTTCAGGCCCAAAGGCCAATGCTCTACCAACTGAGCTACTGTCGCCCCTTGTACAAGAACTCAAGTCAGCTAATAATTACAGAATAACGCTACCAATAACGTTGAGCAGACTCAGACCTCCTTCCCTCATAAATAATCTGGTCCTTTTCACTAAAGTGCCTGGATAGAAATCGTCTCCATGTTCAAAGGATGTCTGTTTGAGAACCCTTTGGTGTCGGCTCTTTATGAAGCTGAGACAATAATAAACACACAGAGAGACAAAATGAGTCAGCGATATTCTGTGTCAGAATAGAAAACATTATAACTGCCACAACAATGTCCCTACTGCGATAATATTCTTGAATGAGTCACATGGTTGTAGTTGTTGTCTATTTGTAAAAACATCTGTATCTATTCATCTATCTATTTATCTATCTCTAAAAAAAACCTTTTGTCTTAATTTTCTCATTATTTTCTCATTAAACAGCAATAATGTGTTACAGAACTCAGGTCTGACATACCCTGGCCTTATCCATCCGTACTCTCCAGTCAACCATCATTCCTGCAAGTAATGTCTGTGTGTTTGCGATTACAATTGGTTGAATTCCATCCGGCCAATCAGAGAGCGCGGGAGGTGGGTGTTGTAGTTAGTTGTGAGTGACGTCAAGAGTTTGCGTCAAAGGGGAAGGTTGTAGTTTGGCGAAGAATGCGATAGTAAAGTATTCCGGTCTGGTTCTATCAAGATATTGAAGCTGGAGCAAGAGGAATGTTTTGCAAATGTAATTGCTGCAAAGATTGTGGCGCTACTCCCCACGGGCTCTGTTAGCGGCAAAGGAGATGGCGAAAGCTAGGCTAAATGCTAAAGCTAAGCTAAATGCTAGCAACTCACTCGGGCGCGTTACATACGTCATGGTAAACTCACATTGTTTCAATCTGCAAAAGGAGTTAACCTCTCCCACCTGTTAACAGAGCTCAATGGAGCAAATCCAGGCCTTAGTACGAAATGTTATTTGTACTATGGTGTGGTATGACCAGGCTAGGTCTACCTAAGAATTCTGTGAGAAAATAATCCTATATTAAGCATTTCTAACCATTTAACTGTGAATCTTTTACTTCAACTTTAAAAAAATGCTTGTACTACAGGTTAGAAGTCTATAATTATGCGATTAAATGTGTGCAGTTGTGTATGAGGCAATCACTTAAGGTTTTTCTCTCCAAATGGAACTCTCTTCAAGTTTTTCTTTAAACATACAGGATATAAAACTCTCTCTTCAATTCTGGTCAGCCTTATTTCAACGTGAAAAATCCAAGTTAACCCTGCAGCTTTACCTGGCAACTCCCAGTCATAGATTTCTTATTGTAGTCTCATTAACCCTTTTGACATGCTAATCTCTTAATAACTTAAAAGTGTTAAGAGATAGAGGCTTTGTGTTAATTAGATAAATTATATGGATGGCCCAAAGTTTATGTGGGAAGTAAATACACCTTTCTAATTGGCTTATTATGACATCATATGGTGGTGGCAATCATGGACTTTCATGATTTCACTAACAGACACACATCACTAGGACATACGTAAACACACAAACAGAACCACACTGTACTATACTCAAGGGTCTGGGAAACAGCAAAGCAGTGAAAATCAGTGTGTGGCAGAGTTTGAATACATTTTAAAACCCAATCGGTCGTTTTAAGATAAGATGGATCTCACACTGGAGAAATTTACATAAAATACCGCACATTGCCAACTTAAAGGTGCAGTAAGTGATTTCGTTAGCTTAGCCGTAGCACCAACTGGAAACCACTCCCCCCTCCCCTCGCCTCTCCACCAAACCAAACATCCAGCATTTTCTTTTCTTTGTCTCAACAGGGAGAGTGGGCGGCAAATGTGAAATTGGCATTTTCTGTTCAGCTCTCTTAGAAAATCCGATAACTCAGGTGCACTCGTGAGAAACAGGGAGAGTTTGAAGGGGTAAACACATCCCATTGGTTCGTTGGGGGTGAACAAATGCCATTGGTTTATTTTTATCGGTCCGCTCCAAAATTTGTGATAAATTTTGGAGACTATAGACATCTGGTCAATTCCATTACTATTTGAAAACACATGATAACTTGATATTTTTAGGGTTTAGGGACGTATTCCCACACTATTTAAAAAAAAATGTCCCGTGGCGCCTGGAGGGTTAAGCGCCTGGACAAACAGTATAATGTGAAATCTCAGTCCAACACTAAGGTTATTTACCACAACCAGAACCGCCTCTATCTAATCAGCAGGTACTCAGCAGGGACACAGCAGTGATTAGATTCAGCGCCTTCAGCCTGAGAGCATTTGTCGGACTGTTATGAGGGATGTTTTTATACCTTTGCAGACGAAGCACTTGATGTGGAAGTGCTTGTTCTGGACGCGCAGGGCCTCTCCTTTGCAGGGCTTGCCACAGTTCTGGCAGGGGATGGGCCCTGCTTTGGGTTTGGACTTCTGCTGCGGCTCATGGGGGCTGTGGACCGCCTGCTGCTGGAACACTGCAACACAACCAGGAAGCAAAAGGATTTCAATTCCATTCAATTTCTTTATTTACAAAACTTCATAGTCGTAATAGTCATACATATTCTATTAGTAAGGTCTGTTGGTGTAAAAGGGAACTCCAGGAAGCTACATTAGCTTATAGACCAAACACAAACACAAATAAGTAAAACAAATGTGACAATTTAGTGTTGTCTCCGTCTGGGTGAGGCTGGGCTGCATTAAGGGGTATATTCATCCATGGTTAAAGTGAGTGCAAAATATATGAACAAATGGACATGCAGAAATATACTGCAATGTTACCACCGCACACGCAATTAGCTCCTGGACTGATAAATATGAATTCTGTCAGTTTTATTGCAGAGTTAACATTATTTTTGTTCCAACCACACTTTGTAGTTTTTTCACACGCTGTTGCAATAACTAGTCACGTTGGAAAAACTACAACACCACTTCAGATGTAGCCGCAGCTAGACCGGAAACAAAGCTAAGTTAGCTTGCGGCTAGCATACACACCAACATGTGGGTGATATTTCGGACTAAAGAGCATATGGCTACATCTAGGCGCTGTGATCCAGGCCTCTACCATGGGCACATAACTGAAAACCCCGCTGACTCCTACGCACACCGCAGCACAAGCTAAGACTATCTCAAAGTCACAGCCCAATCTTTGAAGCTTTATTTATTACTACTGCGTGTTAATGCTGTATACACTGTAAAAATAGAAATATACAATTCCGACGTCAGGAAAGAAACTCGTGGTTTGGTCTAACCTTTTAGAGAGATGAACTACATTTTTAAAGTTAGCTCGCGGCTAGCATATGAAGAAGATGACATAGTCTGGGATCGCGTCTTAAATTCAGACAGAAGACATGTTTTATTGTCGATGGTAGAGACAGCACAAACACGAACAACACGATCACAGATACAATAGAATGCAAGTGTATTATACAGAGTGGAGGCATGGAGACCTCCAATCAGCAGCTGCCACGGTGTGCTTGTAGCTTGGCCTTCAGATAGACACAACAAGGGAAAAGTACTGGCTTCTGCACATTGATAGAATGATGAGTTTAACTTTAACAAAAGTTGCTTCAAAGTGTTATGAAATCCCATATTCCCCCCTCTGGTCATACATTCACGTGTGACCATCAGGATCGATAAACAGCAACATAACATCATAACTCAATACTTCAAAAACTCAAACTCGGTACTTCAAAAAACTCAGAACTCGGAATACTTCAAAAACTCAGAAAACTCATAAAACATGTTCAGATCTTTCATAAAACTTGTCAACAATCTTCAGTAAAATACCAAACTTCATCAGTCGATGGTGGTTCCAGATATTGCTTTGAAAACAGTCTCTCCCACTTCTCTGTGTTGATTCTTCAGGCTGCATTTGTTGTGTCGAGCCATGAATTCTTCTGTGACGTGTCTTTCAATCACACGTTTCAGCTTCAGTGTCCAGATTCAGCAATCCAATTCAGTCCAAATTATGTAATCCAATTGTTCCAAATGGTGTCCATGCAAAAGAGGACGCTGGTGTTGTCCATGTCTCAGCAGCTCACAGCCTGACTGGAATCAGGGGCTGTGCAGATTGTCCATGTGCTGATCCAGATGCATGGTTTCTCTTGAGGTTTCTCAGTTTTGGCTTGAAAAAAAAAAACACTTTTTGTGTAAAAAAAAAGTAGTCTTCTGTTCTCTAGATGTTACAGACAATGCCCGCATTCTCCACCACCTGAAGAAGATGACATAGTCTGGGATCGCGTCTTAAATTCAGACAGAAGACATGTTTTATTGTCGATGGTAGAGACAGCACAAACACGAACAACACGATCACAGATACAATAGAATGCAAGTGTATTATACAGAGTGGAGGCATGGAGACCTCCAATCAGCAGCTGCCACGGTGCCATGTAGCTTGGCCTTCAGATAGACACAACAAGGGAAAAGTACTGGCTTCTGCACATTGATAGAATGATGAGTTTAACTTTAACAAAAGTTGCTTCAAAGTGTTATGAAATCCCATACATACACACCAACATGTGGGTCATATTATGGACTAAGGAGTACAAAATTTTTGAAGCTGGTTCAAAAATGTGATGGCTGTAAATTTCCAAGAGGCATGCCTGGATACAGCAGACACTTCTTATACTGATTTAAAAGAACCAAAACAAAATCCTATAATAACCGTCTGTTTCCAGCCTGAGAAACAGCTGCATCACGTCTCAATCCCACGTTGCTATTTTCTTTTATCTAAAAATACTGTTATCTTTTTCACACTGAACCATGACTCCTCACACTGAACCAGTCACTCCCTCCCACCGCTATCTCCACGTACCAATCGGATATGAATAATTGGTCATACTTTGCATTTCAAACCGGTTCCACAGAGACAAACCCATGCCCTCATTCATTTCAATGGGCTCCTGATCGGCCTCTCAATGCAGGGAATGAATGAGGCTTTGTGGCCCGTTCAGACCGGCTCCATCTGCCTCCACGGTGCCCAGCGAACACTTTATCAAATGAACTGATTTAGAAAAGAGACAAAAAGAAAATGCCAGAAACTGAGTAGGAGTTGTGTCGGGGTTTCCATAATCCAGGCGTTTGGCTTGAGAGTTTATGTAGTGTTTTATTGGCTCGGTTTGAAGAGGTTTGAGGTTTAGCCCAAGGGTAAAGACGTCTCGAAAGCTTTACTTGTGAATTTTATTTTATTTATTTATTTATTTAATAGTTTATTTGAATAGGGACGATACACATTAATCAACATTGCTGTAAATGTGTCAGTATTAGCTAACAGCTAGTTTCCAACTGTAGTCCCTAGGCAAGGTGTAAAATGCCATCAAAGTGCACTGCAAAAAATTACAATTACATTACAATACATTACATCACTTGACAATATAGAGTAACTAGTTAAAACATTTCAGTTTAAAACACGTAATTAAAACATATAAAAGCAAGTAATGCATCATGAGTGGTTACAATCTTGATTGTCCAATAACCAGGCTTTCAACGTATGTTTAAAAGTCCTGTGTGTGGTGCTATTTTTTATATGGACTGGGATTGTGTTCCAAAACTGAACGGCGCGCACTGAGAAAGCTGATTGGCCAAAGGAACTTTTTCTCTTTACTGTTAAAAAAAACTAAAAGAAAAAGAAAACTGGTCATACAAGAAATTGTAGCCTGGATAATTGGTAATCCAGAATCATAATGAGTGTCAGGGCAATCCTATACTTTATCAAGTACCACCTGCATTTGGGGTCAATCCTTAGTTTGACATAGAATACAAAATCAAGTTTTATATTCTGGACTAAAAAAAATTAGTTTCCCATGAATGCATCTGGTTGGTCAATCAGTATTATAATATATAATTATAACAATTGAAAATGAAAATATTTACAATCTTTTTAAAGGTTTTCTGTGTAATTTTTACAGTTGCTCCAAATGAAAAAACACATTGACCAATGACAAATGTGACCTTTTTAAGAATATTTACGTCCACCATGTTTTTGAATTATTGTAGGCTTAGAATTTGACTTATAAATGTCCATGAGGCTGGAGGACTCTATATATAAATGCGCCATCTTGAAATACAGTGGTTGATAAGGGACAAAAAGGAGTTTGAGCGGGGGTTGGGGACCACTGTCCAAGACCACATATTGTCCCGGGAAGCCACCGTACTACCGCAAATTACAATGAGAGAAACTACACAGTGTACCTTCAAATATTCATTAAAATAGAATAAAGAAGAAAAAAATATCTGTATCTGCTCTTGTATTGTGTCTTTATAAACATAACTTTGAAACCAATGTCATTCCTTTTCCTGCTTACGTCCTTGGCTTAATAACTTCTTGCATCATGTTTGAAGACATTTTTGAGGCAAGAAACATTAGCTAATCCAGAAACTACATATTCCTACTCTAGCATCGATCGCGCTTTGCCCTTTAAAAGCTGTCATAAATCTATCCCTAAATAGAGAGAATCGAGAATAACCATGTGAATCTACACTTTTTCTGAAAAAAAACTCAATCCAGAGTCTATAGTTTAACACAGTCCGGTCCACTCCCCGAAAGTAGAGAAGTTACGACAACACGCAGAGCCAAGCACAGTAAAAACGCATTAGTGACACATGGCTGCGTATTACAGGAGGTTAGCGGGTTAGCTTGTTCAACATTTGGCTAAATAGTGGATTCGGGGGATCTATCTTGTCATCTCTTCAGAAACATCAAAGAAAGGTAGTCCGAGGGCAAAGTTACAGTTACATTCTTAAGCAACTTTTACGACTGGGTGGAATATTTGCACAGTATGTTTCTCCCGCCAACATCCAAACTCAAACTGTCAAATGGAGTTGATGTTGGAGGCTGATAACATGAAACAGTGGGATGAGAAAGCCTTCTGAGCCCGACGGAAGAGAAAACGTTTCATTGGGAAAAGTCAGGAGCCGTCATAAAAGGGCTCAGACGAGTTGAGTGCAACCATCTGCGTTTGACGAAGGATTTGAACCCTCACGCACCTGTTGATGGTAGATTTCATGTCTCTCTCTACTTCCTCTAATAAAAACACAGGCAAGACATGGGGCAGGTCGTTTTGGAGGGTTCTAGGGCAAAAAGGGGAGACAAAACGGGAGGTAAAAAGGGCAAAAAGTATAATTATGAATGGATTTATTTGATCATCTGTTAAAACACACAAGGCATTTAACACTCATTTAATTATAGACAATACCTCATAATAACAAAATAGAAGTTAGGCTGTAATCTTGGATCTACAGCCTCAGTCCTGAGTCCACAGCCTCAGTCCTGGTTCCACAGCCTCAGTACTGGTTCCACAGCCTTAGTCCTGGTTCCACAGCCTCAGTCCTGGTTCCACAGCCTCAGTACTGGTTCCACAGCCTTAGTCCTGGTTCCACAGCCTCAGTCCTGGATCTACAGCCTCAGTCCTGGTTCCACAGCCTCAGTCCTGGTTCCACAGCCTCAGTCCTGGATCTACAGCCTCAGTCCTCGTTC